ACAGGCCTGCTCCCTTTCCAAGAAACAAGCCTAGAAACTCTCCTTGGCTTCTGACATTCTCCCCTGATTCCTCCCCCAACAATTCTCACTCTTTAGACAAGGTGCCTGCTGTGGCTGAGGAGGGACCCATTCGGAAATCTCAGTCTCCTGGGCTTTTTGCTCATTGGCTTGCTGGGTGCAGGCTGGGCCCTGGTAGATGCAACTCCTTAAAGAGGACCATGAGGCCTTCTGAAGCCGGGCCTGACTCAGACGGGGAGCCACGGTATGGATGACCTGCCTGGTACCTGCTCTTGTATCCATCTCGCTAACCCTAGAGGTTGTGGCTGCTTCAACTCTGAGCCAACCCTGTTCTTCATTTGCAGGGGCCTCTGGGGAGACCTGGCCCCATGCTGTCTTCGGTGTTCAGATCATGACCTTGAACATGATTACAAAGACCAGTCTGTCCTAGGGCCCAGGTTTCTGTCCTCTCCTCCACCTCCTAGACCTATTTCTGGGTCATCTCCTTGGGTACCACCTGCGTGCCTGTTTAGACCTCTTGGATCACCTGTTCTTCCCCTGCTAAAGCAGACCTTGGGTTTGGACTGGGTCTGGATCTTTGGCTGAAGGCATGTCTGTATGGCTGAGGCAGTCTGGGCTCGGTTATCTTTGGATTCTTGGCCCACATGCCAGCTCTTCATTGAACCATCCTGGGCTTGCACTCATGCTCTGGCTCCGACCCAGATGACCCATCCTGCAGATGAGCAGTTCAAACCTTGCTTGTTCCAGTTCATCTAGAATGCTCCTGCATTCAATCCTCATAGAACTAGTTCTAGTGCATTCTGTGACTCAGCCACACCTACTAATGTCCTGAAGTTTCTGACTGTCTGGTCCCCTCCCCTGCACAGAGCAGTGGGAGGGCAGAGCTTCTCTGTGGTCACAGCACAAGGGAGTGCAGGGTAAAGGCCAGAATCATGAGCAAGGGAGAAGTTAAGCTAGAAAGATGGATCCTAAATGGGCCACAAAACCAAGCAGACCCTGGCCCTCGGTCCCATCCAGAGAGTGCTTGGAGAACCCCAGGAGAAGGTGATGGGCTTGGGAGACAACCAAGAAAATGCTGGTGTCTGGCAGGTGGTCCTGGTGGAGTCCAGAGAGTGCGTGCCAGAACCTCTGGCTGTTATTTCACATGCTCTGGCTCTTGTTTTTGTGAGTGAGGCAGGTCCATAAAGCTGCTGCAATGTGACAGATATTGGCTCATCACCAGTAAAGGTTTATTAAGTACCTCTGGCTGCAAGCCCATGTCCTTGCAAGGTGAGAGCTGAGATTCCGAGGAGTCCCCGAGTGGAAATTGGAGGTGTGGCAGTGGGACGCACAGAGATCATGAATTTTCAAGGCTCTCTGGGGAACAATCCCTTTTTCTTGTTTCAAAAAAATAGATCAAAACGATGAAGAAACAGAGAGGGAGATAAAATAATTGTGTATTTATTGCATGTTAGGCAGTGAGTCTCTGTATACACACACATACACACACACACGTTTGGCAAAATCCTATGAAGCAGGTGAAATTAATGTCAGTGCCATCTTATTATAGATGAGGCAACTATAATCACAAGATTGAACTTTCACACATTTCTCACGTAGACCCTTCACGACCCCATCACGATTTTCTCCTATTTAAGAAGCATCTAGGAAAAGTTCAAATTTAAATGATTAAAATTGGCTTGGGAGAGATAGACACCTTGCTCTTCCACTTAGCCAGACCTGGGTCCTACAAGCCTGTTTTGAGGGAGAATTTGTACTTGCTCTGTAGACATGAAAAAGTTCATAAGAAACAAAATTGACAGGAAAACAATGGAGAGAATAGCTCCGGGTTCCTTGGGTTGATTCTTTGTTAATGATCAAGAGGTGCATTTAGGACAGTGGCTGATATATCAGATCAGATTCTCTTCTTTGCTGTTTGGTGTCATTTTCCCCAGGCTTCCACAGATGGAGAAGAAGGATGTTGAGAACTTGGCCTAATAGTATGAATGTTTCTGTAACATGGCATGTGCAAAAGCAGAAAGAAACACATGAAAGGAGGAAGGAAGCAAATTAGAAATTAGACTGTTTCAGCTGGGCACAGTGGCACACATCCCAGCAACTTGGGAGGCTGAGGCAGGAGGATCGCAAGTCCAAAGCCAGCCTCAGTGACTTAGTGAGGCCCTAATATACATAAATAAATAAAAATAAAAAGATACAAAGGGCCGGGGATGTAGCTCAGTAGTTAAGCGCTTCCAGGTTCAATTCCAGGTAACAAAACAAAACAAAAAACTGTTTCAAATATTAAATCAACAAAGCCTGGTAGAGCCTTTCTCCTAACTTTGAGTTAACACGAGACTTTCACCTAAATTTGGCAAGTGGGAGGCAAATCTACATTTGCTGACTTGGACGGGGTTCAGGGTTTCTCTGCTTACCTGGGGAGCACTATGGATTTGCAAACCCTATTATAATAAAATCTACAGATCCGGTGACTCCTGAGTATCCTCCAGGTGCATTATTGGGCAGACCCATGTGTGAACCCTTATAAACTGTGACTACAATTTAGAAAGGCCGGGTCTTGGAGTGTGAAAATGCCAGGATGCATCAGGAAACCCCAGAGAGGGCCTGGTCCCATCGTGAAGAAAAGCCTCCTTTGAGAAGCTGGGCCCCCATTGGATGCAGACAGTGATACCCGAGAGTTTGTGCAAAGTGCAGGACCAGGCTCAGGTGCAGGACAGCCCAGGAACGCAGCATGCAAGCTTAATGACTTCCCAGCTACTCCCAGCAGCCCATCTCAAAGCCGATAAGTTACCCTTAAGACACATCTTGGCCAGGCGCACCTGCCTGGATCCCCACTCCTGGCCTGGAGCTGGATGCCCAGGTCCTGTGTATCCTACAAGGTCCCAGCCCCTCCCCCTGTGGCCCGGAGTTTTCCTCATTGCAGTAAAACCTTTTCCACCTGCTGTTCTCAGCACAGTGGTGGGAGGTGTTTGGTGTTTTCATCTAGTCACCCACCATTGTAGAAGGGACTCAGCCACTTCAAGTGTTGCCCTAAAGCTCCTCTGCAACAGGGAACCTTGTCCCTGCCACCCAGGTGCCTGCCTGTGGGCCTGGACCCTGCTCATGGGCTCCACTCTGTCCCCTGCTCTTCCCGTGACACTCACCCCATCCCCCTCCTAGAGGTCCGGCCTGCCATTGTTGAGTGAGCTGGGCCCTGAGCTGAGTTGCTTTATGCATGTTTTTATTTTTATTTTCAGTGTAGCAGTGTATTTAAAGATTTTAAAATTTTGCACACATACATATTTTATTTAAAATAAAATTCTCTCACTAGTATTTCACAACTTGTTTTGTGGTGCCTGTGTTCCTGGGTCTTTTTTTTTTTTTTTTAATTGGTTCTTTTTAGTTATACATGACAGTAGAATTTATTTTTATAGCAGCTCAATTCACAGTAGCTAAGCTATGGAACCAACCTAGGTGCCCTTCAGCAGATGAATGGAAAAAGAAAATGTAGTGCATATGCACGATTTTAAATCCCCAAAGAAACTGTGAGGCGGCTACCATTCTAACCCCATTATCTGTAGAGATGTCCAGGAGCCTGTGCAAGAATGTTCCCCAGGCCTGGCTGAGCCTGGAGCCAAGCCAGGCTTCTCCAAGTCCTCACATGTTACTGTCTCCCCTGCTGTCTCCAGAGCAAGCCCTTCTTGTTCCTCTCTGCAGAAGAGTGCCCCATCTCCTCATAACTTCACTCAAAATCTACCTGTGATCTGGCCATTTCCCCTAATAATCTCTCCGAATAATTCAGTATTTCAGTTTCCATAAGCACGATTTAAGGCCAACTGCTTTATCACTGAGAGTGGAGACTCTTAAATCAAAGACTAGCTGTCTTTAGTCCATTCCAAGTGACATCTTAGGTTTGATTTGTGGTTTATGAGACAAAATGGTAAAAGTTCCAAATGGATGTATCCACTGTAGTTTTTAATGTATTTCAAAATAAGTTTGTACATAACCAGGGATTATGGAAATCATAATTATATCGATGTTTACAAATAAGTCATCTACATCTGTGGTTAATTATATAGGTGAATTGTTTGTGTGTGTATACATGTACATGTAATTATACATACATGTATATACACACACACACAAATATACATGTACAAATAATTTGGCCACTTGTATCTATACAACACATATTCTCTATTCTCTCACATCTGTGATTATAAATTACCCAACAACTGAGTCCAATTAGAATTTGGACCAGAAGTAAAATGAAGATGACATTCAACCTGAAAAAGAGGGATATTCTTTGTGAAATAGATTTCAACACAAACTCTTCTGAGGTGGCTTTATATACTTTGCATAAAAAAGTATTTTGATTTGATTTGTGAAATAATTGTCTTTGCAAAGTTGTAAGTAAATACAATCTTATTTAAAATGCTTGGGGAGGCAGACAAATGGCTAATTACCATATGAAAAATGTTCAAACTTATGAGTATCAAAGACATGTAAATTAAAAGAACACTGAGTCTTTTTTGTCTATCAAATTGGCAAGTTTAAAACATTATACCCAGAGTTTGTGAGGATGAACATTTGTTGGAAGAGCACTTTGGCAATATGTGTAGATATGTGTACATAAGTGTATTTAAAATGTTTAGACCCTTTGTTTAAGTAATCTTGCTTCCAGGGCTTTTTCTAGGGAAATCTTGAAATATTTATCATGCAACATTATGTATAGTAGTTACAAATTAAAGACTCCATAATAGGGAGTAGGGAAACAGGGTGGATTTAGATGCTGTATCTCTACCTAGATAATCTATGTAAAGTATCTTTAATGCATTAAGTAAAAAGGCAAGCTATAACCCCATCTATTACATTAGCACCATGGTTTTATGAAACAATATGTTTGTAGATGTGTATAGAAAAACAGCTAGAAGGAAATGTATCAGAATGTTCACAGCGGTGGCGGGTCCCGTTGGCTTTTAATTCTAGTTTCTTCGTGTTGCCAGATTTCTACAAGAGTAGTCCTGTCTGCAGAATGCCAGACCTAACCCTGCAACATTAAGAAGTGCACTGGCTGGGCGAGAGGTCGGAGTCGGTGGGCAGACAGCTCCCCTCAGGACAAAGACTTTCAAGCTGGGACTCTATCAGAGGAGGTGAGTGGGGACATCTCCCCTGGGACTCCTGTCCTGAAGCCAGGCCCCTGTGTCCTGTGCATGAGATTAGAAGCTGACAAAGCTCCAGCCAACCCACCTGGGTCCCAGCAGGGAGCAGGCTGCTTACCTGTGGTGACGTGCGAGCAGGGGCACCCGTGGGATTGGGAGGTGGACCACCTTGTGTCCTGGCTTGGGGTCGGGAAGAAGGAAGACCCAGCATGGGACAGCAGTGCTTCTGTGCTGTGGATCTCTGGAGACCCGGGCGGAGGCACCAGGCTGGGGAGGGAAAGAGCCTCCTGTGCTACTGGGAATGATTTAAGCCGCAAGAAACTGGGGCCTTGACCCCACAGACGCTTATTACTTTTTGTGATAATGGGAACACTAGAAGCTGATCTTGCAGCTCAGCAATGCCACCAGGGACCCAGGCTCTTGTCAGCAATCGCTTTTCTGCTGAGTTTACTGTTTATGCCTTAGGGTTGTAAGATGGCTGCTGCTGCTCCAGATATCATAATTCCCATCCCTTCAGGAGCCCCGAGCAGAATCTCCATTGCATATTGTTAGGAAAACTGGGTCACATGTCACCCAATCCCCTTGGCTCCAAGGGAACCTGGAGAATTGACGTCCTGCAAGGGGAAACAAATGGGGACAAATGCCTTAGGCCAGCTGTGATCTCCGGGTAGGACACATTCATTCAGGTTACAGCCGGGATTTGTCCTCAGAGAGGTAGGAATGGCTATGAGGTAGGCAATACCTATACACAACAACACTCAAACAAGATCAAAAGAATTCCTGCCTGAAAACTGTAAACAATAGAGAAGTAGGAAAATTACTTTAAAATAAATACATTTATGACCTTCAATAAGTTACAGAAAGAACTACAAAACATGAATTCAACAGGCAATTGGATCGAGAATAGATGTTGATGGTTGGGCGAGTGGAGCACATCTGTACTCCAGTGACTCCAGATGCTGAGGCAGGAGGATTGCATGTTCAAGGCCAGCCTGGGTAACTTAGCAAGACCCTGGGCAACTTAGCAAGTTGTTGGGTAACTCAGCAGTAAAGTGCCCCTGGTTTCAATCCCTAGTATTAAAAAAAAAGGCAATCAATCAAGCAAGAAAAAAAAGGCGTATACAGATAAAAATCAGAAATCTTGGAAATTAAAGTACAGTCATCAAAATAAAAAAGCAAATCTTACAAATGAAATACTGAACTGGGTGTCGTTGAAGAGGTTGAGATGGAAGCCAGACTTTGCCTGTCACCTGGAAAGCCACAGAGAGTCAGAATCAGGAGGGACGTGGAAGGCGAGCTGAGAGATTACACGTCGTTATGATGGATATTTCTAGAAGACAATAAAGAATAGAAGAGAAGCAATATTTGAAAAGATGGCTAAGACTTTTCCAGAATTAAAGGTAAACATGAATCCTGGCATGAAAAAGGCATTTTGTTAAGCAGAACTAAAAGACAACAAAACAACAAACAAAACTGAACAAACCTGCCCAGACCTCACACCAGATGAGATCAGAGAAGAGGGGAAGACGAGGAACTGCAGCCAGGCGAGGGCAGATTCTGCAGGTGCCTGTGATGGAAGGGCCCCTTGAAGGTCTGAGGGAAAACAACACTGAAGGCCGACTTCTGAACCTGGTGATGGTGCTTTCAGAGGAGGTACAGAACAAACCAACCAACAAAACTCAAGTACCACAAAGCAAAGCAGGAACACCCATTATCAGGTCACCTAAACAGCAACATTCAAATATGTAAACAGAATAAACATAGGAGGAAATTGTTATGATCTTAGGAAAGCAAAGATTTCTCAGGACATAAATGAACATTAAGTGTAAGAGGAAAAAAATGTTAAGCTGAAATATATCAAAATTAAACACTTTTGCCCTTCAAAAAAATACCATCAAGAAAACAAGAAGCTTTGGAAGCGAATATTTGCTGTGCACAAAGGGCTTACATCCAGGATCTACAGACAACACCTGATCCCAAATAGAAAAAATTTAACAAACACTTTCACAAGAAGATAAATAAAATGATCAATGAAGACTTAAAGATATGATTATTGTGATCAGCTGTCAGGAAGGTGCAAAGATAGAAGAACCACAGTGAGAAGACATATTAACCCACCAGACTAAAAAAGACTAAAATTTTAAAAGATGAAATACCCAGTGCCAGCAAGGTGGTAGGACAGTGGAACTGCTGTTGAGGACATAAAATGTCACGACGAATTGAAAATCTGTTTACTAACTTGTTAAGAAGTTGAGCATACCTACAAGTCATATTCAGGCACTCTATTCCTAGGTGTCCATCCCGAAGAAAAGAAAACACATATCACACTAATGTTTACACAAAAATGTTCACAGTAGCTTTAATCACAGTGGTCAACACCTGGAAATAATCCCACAAACTATCAAATGGTAAATAGGTAAAGAGTGTGTGGAATATTACTCAGCAATAAAAAGGAACAACTACTGAAACCAACAGTAACATGAGTAAGCCATTCAGTCATTCTGAATGCAGATACAAGGTCATGTTAAAGCCAAATGCAACAGAATGCATATTGTACTAGTTCTATAATAATTTGAGAAATCTGTGGTTGCCTGTGGATGGGGTGGAAGGATGGGCTGCATATAGGTACCAAGAATTTTTAGGGGTGATGGAAATGTTCTGCATCTTGATTGCGGTGAAGTTTTCTGAGCATTTACATTTAAAAAAACCCACTTGAATGGGTGCCATTCATTGTATGTCAATCATTCCTAAATAAATATAATAAGGAAAAAATAAATTGGTATAAAATAAGATATTTTTAGACATACAAAGATAAAGAAGTTTACATTTTATTAAGTCTTGATAAAAAAAACTTGAAAAATAATTTGGAGGAAAGAAAACAAATGAATCAAAATAGCATATATATATATATATATATATATATATATATATATATATATATATATAAATAAAATAGGGAGTTTAATGCTTCAATCAGAAAATACTTTGAGGGTACCTTAGTTCATTTTTGTAATGCTATACTAGAATACCAGAGACTATGTAATTATGAAGAAAAGGAATGGATTTCTCACGGTTTTAGAGGCTGGGGAGACCAAGGTTGAGGGTTGCATATGGTGAGGGTCTTTCTGTCTTTCTACTGTGTCATATGGTGGAAGAAACCAGAAGGCAAGAGAGGGGGTGTGGTGGAGGACGTGTGCATGTGTGTGTGTAGGGAAAGGGCCAAACTTATTTTTTATCATGAACCCCTCCTGCAGTGACTAACCCGTTTCTACCATAATGACATCACAACACAGGGACTTTGAGGGACACTTTCAAGCTATAGCAGAGGCTCTCACAGACCTGGGTGAATCTCTGTGTCATACAACCAACTAGTAACTTCTAAGTTTAACTGTTGTTTATCATAAAGATACCAACTGCATAAAAGTAAAAATACTTGGCACTGGGGTGGTGGCTCAGTGGTAGAGTGCACGCCTAGCCCGTGTGAGGCCCTGGGTTCCATCCTCAGCACCACATAAAAATAAATAAATAAAAACAAAGGCATTGTGTACAACTAAAAATAAATAAATATTAAAAAAGTAAAAATACTGGTATAAAGAACTCCCTATGTCTAGAATAACCCATATTTCCATAAACCCAGCTTGCTTGAATTTGGAAATACTGTTATTTATTCATCACTGAATGGCATTTTCAGTTTTTTAGAGAGGAGATTTCTTTATGTTCTCTCAAAATGTGTCAGATGAAATATTATCATTTTGTGCATTTGTAATTTTTAAGAAATGTGAAAGGTAATTAGAATATGAAAATAATGAAAAATGGTATTGTTCCCAAGACCTCAAATCATATTATTAATATCTTGTAATTGCAAAAGACCTCCCTATTTCTTGTAACCTTCAGATAAAGATTTATTGAATATTGATTTTATTTTTCAAATATTTATTGTACCATTTAACCTCTTATGTAGATTGCTCCAAATTCTGTTTGTTGAGTACCATTTATTAGGCACTGAACTCAACAGACTTAAGGCATAGGAGATTGGACCAAGACTTGGTCTCAACCAAAACGAGGTTGAATTTCTCCAAGAACTGTGCTAACCCTCTAGATTTCCAGCCTAACTGATAGGGGGCGGGGTATTGTTCCTCCTCTTGCTGCTTTGGTATGGTGTGTTCCTAAAATACACTTGTGCAGCTCAGAGGCCTCTCCTTTTCTTAATCCTAAACCATCCTTTTGTTTTCTGAGAGTTGGGGGGTGGGGTGGGGAGTGAGCAGTGTTCTGTCATTCCTGGTACACACGCTGTCTCCTTCCTGAAAACTGAAGAGTAAACGCGCACCAGTTCGTGGGTGAGCGGTGGTTTCCTTACGGCAATTCATAACGAACTAATGTCATAAATCACGAGGGACTGGCCAGCACCCAAAACGAAATACCCTTGCTTCAGACCACACGTGTCTGCCGTGTCAAGATGTGTCCTGTTTATTCCAGTCACAGAATATTAGACCTGCAAGGGAACCAAGAGACAAAAAAGTTTTATCACCTCCCGTTGCCATCTTCTCCATAAATTGGTAATAAACACACCTAAGTTCCTTCATTACAATGTGATAGATTGTAACAGCAACTCCGAAGGTCCATTATATAAATCATTTAAATAGAGATTCAGACAATTTGAAAAATCCCCATTAATTACCAAGAATTCAGTAACAGTGACATGGCGAGGTTCAGTTTGCACTGCACTTGTGGATGTAGACACTTAAAAATGCAGATTGTGACCCAATGGAGCAGAGAAGCTCATTAGTTATGTAAAATCTTTTCTTTCTTTAGTTGTGATGGGATGAGGATTGTTGAACTGATAGATGGCCACTGATCTTGTGAGGAGGCTGGGGCATCTCCAGTGTGACACACTGGTTGCACCGCAGTTTTACAGCCGGACGGGATTTGCTGTCACACCAGGATCCATCCCGTGGTGGGCACCTTTGGTGGGCTGAGCGCTGTCGAGGAGT